ACAATGGCACTCACCTCTTTGGCGATGTAGAAGTTGAGGACCACCATGCTGAAGTTGTAGACTATGAGGGTCTTCCTGAGTGTGTAGGGCTGGCGATCTTGCATGTATTTAGGTCCTGCCCACAGGAAGATCAAGTACAGGCAGCTGATAGCCAGAGTAGGGAAGGGAGAGGACATCATGGGCCAGTGCTGAACCCTCTTGTCTGATGGTAAAGGGGTTACAGTTCATTTTAAGGGTGGGGAAGAAAAACACAAGTTACAGCTGTAAATATCAGGATGGATTCAACTGAAACATTAATAAACGTATGTTGTAAAGTTGATCCACAAACCCTCATAATCTTTATTAATCGCTTGATATTTTTGTGTGGACCAAGTTTTTTTTTAACTAAGAACACAGGCTACAGAATTTATAGTTTGGCATTCATTTATTGGCTCTATAAAAACAGTACAGAGGATGTAAGTTGAAGGTGAAAATACTCTTCCCGGCTCAAAAATAAGCTGACAAGTTTAGTTATGCAGTTCCTCTTTCACTTGATACACGCACGTAGCTGTAAACACACTTGCAAAGCATCAAGTATGTTTACTTTTGCAGTTTTCTGTGCACTCCATATACCATCAGCAAGCACATCTATACATACACACAACTGCATGATGATGAAAACAAGAGACATCGATCACTTTTGGTGAAGTTATAATAATCCATTATTATGATTATGCAGCCACTGTTGAACAAACCCCACAGATGTGCATATGTAGTGAAAGCTCCTATTGCGTGTTGTTTCCAAGCAAGAGATCCCAGCTTACCTGCTATAGTAAGGCTCCATTTGTAAAACTCTACAGTGTCATTCACAAGATGCGTTACAACCTCCATGGCTCTGCCTTTGGTCTAGATTACACTGTGGTGGAGAGAGAGAGAGAAGAGCAGAATGTCAAAATCAGCCAGAGTTACACTGTATTGGTAAATGATGTCTGGACTAAAGTCAAACATTTCAACAGCACAAATAATATGTTAAATGCATGTTATGATAAATGCATGGTGAAGTTTTTTCTTTTCACTCTTTTCTCCATTGAAAGTGCACATTAGTCACCTATTCACCACAAACCTCCACAGGAAGTTGATTATTATGATTGCTGGGCACTCCCATCAGTTACAGATA